GAGGTGCGTTCCAATAAGTCTTCCTACCAATATGACCATGTTGCGAAAACAAGGTCAAACAACCACTATAAGTAGTTCCTACTCAATTTTCAACCAACGTTCCTCATAGTCAGCGTATTTCCTGATCTATTAATTTCAATAGCCTCTCTTATCTTTCTTTTAACAACAGACTTACCATAATCAATAAACCTACTAGTTCGAGACCATTTTATTTCATGACCAGTTTCTACCCCGTGTTTTACCACTTCTGACCGTTGCACCCATCTTCCTTTACAAGCATTTTTGTGTTCTACCAAACTTTGTCGAATAGGTCGGCATGTCTCACCAACATAACATCGGCCACATAGATAAACAAGCTTGTAGCATCCGGATCTCGATAATCGGCCATATTTGTCTCTAAAAGATGACAGAAGAAAGGGTAAGGGTTTCTTTGAACACTGTTTTTATGCCCCAATTCTTCACTAATTTGCCTATCCTATTTGAGAGAAGGCATGACGACAAAGTTAGGACATGGGAAAAGGTCTCAGTTTGCCTCTCTTTGACTAAATGGTCTCCTTCTGAAAATTTATTCCTCTGTAGAGATATATTATTCTCAATAAGGCCTAAAGGATAATTATTTTTCAGAAATATATTTGTCAGCCGTTCCAAATCTTTAGTCAAATGTTTGCTATGAGCTAGCCTCATAATTCTAAGAATCATTGACTTCGAAATTCCAACCTTAGTCTTGTAACTATGGTTGGAAAGAAAAGTAAGCAAAGAGCCAACATATGTTGACTTCCTATAAACATCTCTTCCTAATTGACCCTTTTCTCTAATGAGGAGAACGTCCAGAAAAGGTAAGGACCTATTCTCTTCCATTTCCATCGTTAACCTAATGTTCCTTTCACGCTGGTTGAGTGAAAATAGGAAACTATCTCAATTGTCCTTACTATGAGGACAGATGACGAAATAATCATCCATGCACCTAAACAACAATTTGGGTATTAGTATTGCCTCTTGCAGGAAGTGTTCCACCAATTTTACCATATGATTGTTCGCTAATACGAGGGACTGGAAAGATTCCATCGTTAATCCTTGCTTTTGTTAGTATAACTTAGCGTCGAAATTAAAATATGTGATAATCATGGATAGGTTAAGAAGTCTAATATTGGAAGTTATACTCATTCCTATTCCTTGTGTTATCTCTGCATGTTCTTCCAGAGTTTGTATCAGAACTTGAATTGCTCCTTGGACAGGAATGTTTATGTAGATAGACACAACGTCAAAGCTTACTAGCGTATCTTCTTCTGAAATTATCTGCTGATCTAGCAATTTCACAAAATCATACGAATTTTTAATTGAATTTAGCCAATAATTGGCAGAGTTCCTTAGCTGTATGCGTGAAAAACGTGAGATCTTATGCTTCACGCTTCTTTTATTATTTACAATTAATCTTATGGGGGCACCCTCTTTGTGAAGCTTAGGGAGACCGTAAGCCGTGAGGCCCTTGCATCTCTCTTGAGTAGTGAATTCATTTTCCACTTTTCCATCTCAGATTGAAAGAGAAAGAGGATGTTGAGCCACCGCCAAAAAGAAGGCGACTCAATTTGTCTGCTCGAGGATGGTTCTAACTTCACTCACATTCGTCCAACATGTTAGAGCGAGCTCATCAACCAAACCAGACATGTCAGATTACGCAACCCCAGTCTTGCCTTTCCTTGGAGGGTTAAATG